CAGCAATTTCCTCTCTTGAAGGTGGTTCCGTGACTATTGGGAGGTAATTTCTGGCTAGAAGAATTTCTGGTTGGTTTTCTGGAGGTGGTCTGTTCAATAGTTGATCAAAGTGTTCTCTCCATCGGTTAAGTTGCCCCTCTGGGTTGAAGATAGTCTTTCCTTCTTTGTCTTTCACTGGTAGAGTGGGCTTGCTGAACCTACCTGAAAGAGTTCTTGTAGTCTGGGTGGGGCTGAGAAATCAGGGTAGGTAGAGTTCAAAGTTAAGATTTCCATGGTTCAGAGAACATTAGAGACATGTGGGAGTATATGTTTCATTCATACCCAAACTCGCTCATATATGACCTTTTACAGACTTTGCCAGCGCCGTAAAATACTTACCCAAAAAATAAATAAATTATAATTAATTAAACACGCAAATTCACATATATACAACAGTAACTGGATTAGACCGTGGGGTCACAGAAAGCAAGGCATTCCTAAAACGTGGGCCCAGGAGCTTGTTTTCGTTACTGGGTCTCTGGGGAAAGTGTATGAACTTTCCCCCAATGTCTTGGCTAGCAGACGATCCCTCTCTAACAACAGCAGTTTCCGTGGGCTCTCATTTGTTTCTTTTACCTTTTTCAAGAAGAGTTTCATTGAGAAAGGACCGTGGGAATGGGCTCATCCTTTGCTGAGCCCTAAACACCGGCTGTTAATCGTTGTAAGCGTTGGCTACAGTGATTATATAAACGAGCAAGCGTGTGTGTACACCACACGCAAATAAAGGCAGAGGCGGAAGATTCTGAAACAGTTCTAACGGTTTCAACTGATTATCTCGTTTATTAGAAGAAACATTCATTTTCGGAGGGAAAGAGGTGGGAGTGGCAGGGGCTCAAGACCTTTAGCCCTTCGCACTACGCCCCTCCACTGCCAAGTCCTAGTCTCAATGTTTCATGGGGATTAAAGGCATAATAAGCGTATGACTAACGTAAAGACTGACTTCTAAATCTACTTGATCTATTTATATAATCTTCTTGGACAAGGGCAAATAATCTCGGAGGTCTCGTGTGCAATTGCTCACGTTAAAATTCCCTTTGTGGTCTAAAATCGATTTTAAAGAGTAGGCTTGAGCCACCACCCATACAAAATTCAAAATTTCCTACCAGCTGAAAATGTTTATGTCCTGCTTGCTCATGTGACCAAATACAGTTGCAAGCGCCGTAAAACACTTAACACTTCCCTAAAAAAAAGACATTCTGAGGGAATTCTCTTTAGACTATTATAGTGATTCGTTGAACAAGTATGTTGTTTTATATTATAAGTTATTGAAGCTCAGCTGATCACCTGATTAATCTTTAATTCTATATAGGCCTATCAAATGTTCTACAGCATTCACATGTGTTGCGCATCATATTCATAGGTCTAACAAATTGCTGTCATCCAAACACCAGTGAGAAACCTCTCAAAGAAGCATTTTGATGAGTGACCAGTCAAAAATACATTTCAGTCTCACATCTCCTCTCAAATTTCGCTCACCTAGTCCAAGACCTATCTGTCCGTGGACAGTAGGGTGGGTTGACGCTCTCCATCACTCTCTTAATTGTTCTGCATGAGGGGCAGTCTTGCTAAATATCCAGTTGTCTAGTTAAACTTGTCTTGCAAGCTGTGTAGATTGTAGCTACAATTTCCCTAAATTGTCAAGCTTTTTCTGTTGGCGTGTTTCGTGGATTCAAGCGGTGTGTTTTAGAGGAAGTCACTGTGCGTTTGTTAGCCTAAATTGTGATGAAATAAAATTAATACATCATTTGATGAAAATGTGCTTTTGAGCGCAGCATGCCTTTGTATGGCGCGCGTGCCTTTAGGTGGAGACTACTGTGCAACAATATACAATATATGTGAATTTTATGGCTCACATTCACAACATATTATTTAATAAACTGTTTGAATATCAGTACTGGTTGCTCATTTTGCCGTGGTGATATAACTAATGAGCCTACCTCTCCAGCATTTCTAGTCATTGTATTCATGTACATGTTTTGGTGCATTGGTCACATATTTTACACTTGAATATGTAATTACACATCATTATACAATTTTATACCAATTGTTTTGGAATTGTTTTTAGTTTCATGTCTGTCTGCACTGATGTTTCATTTTCAGTGGTCTGTTTTAATTTCAGTTGCGTATGCAATAAAATTCATCTTTTGATTTTAAGTATAAGAATATGAAATGAAGTTGTGCCATACTGGTGGTACAATTGTTTTTGTTTTTTCTTTGAGAAAGAATGTGAGAAGAATGAGAACAAAGTTTTTTAAATTTTAAAGTTACCTGCATAAATGAAAATACTATTTTTGTGTTTGAGTTTATGTGAGGTCTCTTCTTTTTTGTATTTGCAGAGAGACAAGTTTCCGGTTATGGTTGAATCTTGAGGCGTGATTCACACAGCAGACATTATCATCATGAAGATTGTCTGTGTTTTCTTTGTCTCTTTTGTTTGTCTTCTGGAGAAATTTGCTGATGGAAAAAAATCTCCTAATATAGTTTTTATAGTCTCTGATGATTATGGATTCCGGGACATTGGCTATCATGGTGCAGAATTTGCAACACCTAATTTGGACAAATTAGCTGCTGATGGTGTGAAGCTTGAAAATTATTATGTCCAACCTATCTGCTCCCCGACAAGAAGTCAGCTGATGACTGGGAGATACCAAGTAAGTTGTCAATGTCTTTCTCATCTCTCAGAAGTAAATTGTTTAATGAGTTAAAATAATCGTTATCGTCAGAAAGTGCAACAACAAGAGTGATGCTTAACTTCGTGCTTAAAAGTCAAATATTCTTTTTGATCCCAAGATTCATATTTTAGGGGATTTTTTTCTCCATAATCATAGATCTCCTAGTAAATAATTGTAGGGTACTGTTGTACATGATTCAAAGAGGTACTTGCAATGTTTCTGTCTACCCGGGTCAAATGATAAATTGTTACATGATGCAAATAACAGATAACATATTTAGTTGGAAGGAATATATTTGAAATAGAAATTAAATAGAGGTAAAACATTGGGGGGGGGGTTAACATTAAGTTTTCCTAAATGTTTAATGCCTTTAGTCTCTGTGTATACAAAAATGTAACATAAAGACTTTCCTTTTGTCGTTTAGATTCATACCGGTTTGCAACATTCCATCATCTGGCCATCTCAGCCATATGGAGTGCCTCTTGACGACCCTACGATGGCAGATTTCTTAAGAGGCCAAGGTTACTCAACACACGCTGTTGGCAAATGGCATTTGGGCCTGTATAAGAAGGAGCATACCCCACTACATAGAGGGTTTGATTCATTTTATGGTAAGGGATTTTGTTTAACTTTATATTGGATTGATAATTCCGTTTTGTTTGATTAACTAATGATATTTTTCTTTATATCTTTGTATTACCTTAGATAAGCATCACCTGTTCATACTTTTTTTGGGGTCTAAATCAGTGTTTGACTAGTATGAGGTGTATCCTCCGCTACATAGAATTTAATTTTTCTTTTAGTGGTGAGGGTTTTTGCTTAACAAACTAATGGGTTGGATAATTCACTTATAATTAGACATTTTTATAGAGCTATATATATATATATATATATATATATATATATATATATATATATATATATATATATATGTATGTAATTATCATTTATTCATTTTCTATGTATATTTTGAAAGCCCTTTTCTTCACCTTTTTTTAAATTCAGAATGCTATAACAAGTCTTTTGTAAAACTGACTTTTTTTCATGTCTAAGTGAATGTGATTATTTTTCACGAGTGTACTGTTCAACAAAGTTCCAGTTTACAGGAATAACCACTCGTATTGGTCTTTACACATGCACTATAGGTGATGGATCTTGCAAATTACTTACTTGTCTTACTTGTCCACTGTGTTGGGGTCACTGCAGTCGGAACATGTCCATCTCTGCTCTCCCCCCCTCTTCAGGATCCATCCCAGGGTCTGTCTACTTATAGTCTCCATCATGATCTGGTTGGAGATTCGTTGGACTGGTCCGCACAGATAGCTGTGTTTCCCCTCTCCTCTTTGGATCCCCTTCTCCTTCAATCTCCCTAGAGTGTGGGAACCGCTATCCGCCCATTTCTTCCTCAAATTTTCCCTTACTGTGGTTAGGACAGTTGGTGAATTGCAAGAACTAAGTGTGTTCAAAAAACCCATTTGATCAGAGCTTCCTCTTAGCATAATAATAATGCCTTTGCTTCAGAACCAGAAATGGCTTTTTATTTCAGCTGAGTCAGATTTTAACTATTAATCGGTTAGGTTTCATGATTAATCCGAAATTTGATGATACAAATACACTACTGAAGGAAATTGTGGAAACTGTCACATATAACAAATTGAACTAACTAGTGTCTGTTGTTTTATAGTTTGGCTCCTGGCTATCTCATGCAGATGATGTTAGTTTTTTTCATGACTGGAAGACGCCATGGAAACTGTCACCCCAGATTGATTATTATTTTACAGGTTACTGGACCGGTGGAGAAGACTATTACAAATACTATGTCTGTGATCGATTCCACAACCGAACTATCAGAGATTTAAGTGCATCCGGCTTTCTATTGCCTGGTCAGATTAATAACCAGCAGGATGTTGAGTGGTGCGGCTACGATCTAAGGGATGGCAATGAGCCAGTTACTACGATGAATGGCACTTATTCAACCCATCTGTACACTAGAAAGTCCATTGAGCTTATTGAGAAGGCTTCGTCTTCAAAGCAGGTGAACAATAGTTTGTCTTGCATCATTTTTAGCTATTCTATCTCAAGAGAACAATATGTTTTTTGTATTGAAATTATTGTGTGAATCATAGAAGGTAGATTTGTTTAAAAGTGCTTTCAGAAAAGACAGCAAATCATGACTTTTTCCAAGCTTATAGCACATTCTGCTATTGTTGTCCTCCACTTTTTATCATTAACATATCAGAACTTTTATTAATTTTCTTTTAATCTGATTTTTATTTGACTTACCTGTAATATATATCTCTTCCTCAACGAAAAGGATAGTAGCAGTCGACGAAATTTGAATGATAAAGATATGTGAGGCAGCATGATGAAATCAGGTGCTCGTCAAAATAGTGAAAGTCAAGAAGCTGGCATTTATTTTCCTGGAGGTTTGGGAATTTTAGCAAATTTATTTTTTTTGGTTCAACACCTTTCATGCCCATTAAAGAGCACACTTCTGTCTGGATTTTACTTTTTAAATAATGTTGATTAAAGGCAGAAGAAATTTATATTTTCAGTTTTCATGGACTCTGAAGCTAAAGAAATAACTCAACTTTGGTGGCCATTCTCTCACTAATTTTACCTCTGAAACCAGATGACCCTCACGTTCTTCTATCACACACATCTCGACTTCTATTCAACAGAGATGGATATTATTTTCACCCAAAACAAGGAAAATGGACAGGCCTTAAGATGATACCATCAACTCCGTAAGCCCAAAAATTGATGAGAGCCTGATTCCACCGCGTTGTGCCACATATATCTAATTATTGTTCTCAAATATAAGAGTCTCATTCTCATCTAAAAGCTTAAGTCCTCAATGTATATTTTGAAAATTCTTTGGTAAGATTATGAAGTGAGTCTGGCAGTTTACCTTAATAGTATTACCTAGACAACCAACTCGTCCTCTCGGAAATGAAAGGTTACATATTTGGCTTTACTTCTCTTTCTCTTATATTTTGTTACTTACTTGTTTCAAAGCTAATGAGACAACTTAGACCAGCGTCCTAGGTGTAATGGTTAGGCTCCTAGCTGTTGTTCACAGAAAATATGAGTTAGATTGTGGAAGTTGTTTAATCGAGTATCTCAATCCGTCTGATTGGGATGTAAAAACACTTGCTATAAAAAAATGGGATTATACCACTGAGCCTGGTCGGACCAGACAGGCAGTCATTTTCTAAATGAGATCTAAGTTGTGTTAATGGGAGTCTTAAACCTGTACAATCAATCAACAGAGATTAGAAATGATTGCTTTTGATTGAGTTGCTGTGGGTAAAATCCAGTATAGGCCTTCTTTGTTTTCTTCCTCTTCTCTATTGCCCCTGTCTCATATTAAAAAGATCTGTTGTATTGATGGGGGCAACAAAACTTTTACAAGTATATTTTTTTCCTCCACAGCCTCTCTTTCTGTACCTGGCTTATCAAGCTGTTCATTCTCCAATGGAAGCGCCAGACAAGTACATCAAACCTTATTCTTTCATAAAGAACAAGTACAGAAGGATTTATGCTGGTAAAAAACAACAATTTATCGTTTCTGATTTTCCCAGCCCACAGTTCCAATTTTCCATATTGAAAGAAAAGACAATAAGAAGCATTGTTTGATGTTTACAGTTTCCTAATGTGGAAGATGGACGATCTTTCTTCTTTTGTGAATATATTTGCCGTATTTTATTTATGCAGAGGGTTAAAACTGCATAACCTGGTAAAGAACCTGCCTATATCTTTAAGAGTTTCAGGTTCCCTTGTTTATTTTTTTATATAAGGCACTGTTAAATGAGAAAAATGTTACAAAAGCTGTTAATAACTGATAAACCCAATAATAAAATGTGAGGCGTGCTGACAAAATGAGTTACTGCTCACAATCTGTGATATCAGGTAAAAATCGACACAGGGGTCAAATTTGTAGACAGATTCTCTACTCATACCGTTTTCTTCAGGTTTAACATATTAATAAGTTGTGCAAACTTTACCAATAAAATTATTCTATTTCCAAAGGGCTAGAATCCGAGAAGTAATTCATTTCACCAGGATGCCCCACAAATTGAAGTTAGAATTTCTGTGAAGTATTTTTTTGTGGTGAACAAAAGCTTAGTTCGGAGGGTTCTTTCACAAGCAGGAACAAATAATGATTTATTTGCTTTCAACATAATTATTTATAATCATAAATGCTTTTCAGGCCTGAGGCCATCTGCATAATCTAAGGTTATGTTTGGTTAAGCTGTTTACTAATGCACACAGAATATATCTGAGTTTGATTACCAAGATAATTTTTTTTTTTTCCTGAGAGTATTTCCATCCCTCTGCTTGGATGCTATATCCCATTCAGCTTTGATGGCCTAATAGGCAATGTTGAAGTAGCCCGCCTCCTAGATTTTCTAAAATTGAATAGAAAGGTGTGTAACATTTTTACACAAAAGAAGATTCAAATTTAAAGTTCTAATAGCGTGGTTATTTTCCAGGAATGGTGAGTGCGATGGATGAAGGCATTGGGAACATAACGGCTGCTCTGAAACAGAATGGTCTATGGGAGGACACTATTCTCATTTTTACAACAGGTTAGTACTCAAGGACAGTTTGACTTTTCGCATGACAAACAACAGTTGTAAAAGAGGAAAGGGGTCTTCCTAGACTGATGGTCCTCCTTGACAGTGTCAGTAGGCCCCTATATAATTATATATATGGGAAGTGGTTGTTTGTGCAGTTGATTGTCTTGCACTGGATGTGGAGCTGGTTCCACTGTAATTAGAAGTTTTAGTCATCATCGTCATTGTTGTCATGTTGTGTGCTTGTTTATTCTCATGTTAAAGGTGGGAGGTTGGAGGGGGCCTTTTCTTTCTCTCTCTTATTTCTGTTGTATCCGTCTTACTTGATCCCTGCACTAAATTTCATTAATGAATGCCTGATTTCTCAACGATACTTCACATTATATAAATTGTAAAGTACTTAGAGCTAGCTGTTGAGTGGGAATATGTGCTGTACAGATGCTACTTGTTAGTATTTATTATCTCTGTATTTTTTTACAAATGTTTGAGTAAAATGTTATGAATTACATTTCACTTTTTATTTGATTCTCATCCAGATAATGGCGGTCAGATCCTTGCTGGAGGTAACAACTGGCCTCTCCGGGGCTACAAACGAACCTTGTGGGAGGGAGGAATGAGGGGTGTCGGCTTCGTCTCTGGACCTGCCCTGGGCCGCTCGGGTCAGATTAGCAAAGAACTGATGCACGTTTCTGATTGGCTGCCCACTGTCGCTGATATGGTTGGTTCAAAGCTCAACTCTAGCTGGAAACCAGATGGAGAAAATCAATGGCCAATGATCAGGTGGGACTTCTTGTGTGAGTTACTCTCCTCTGTACTCAGATTTCATTGCGTAGGCCCAATACAGTCGAACCTGCTCTTTTAACCACCTTTTTAGTACTACCACCAGTATATACGATGGTTTCCCACGTCTCCCCTCATGTTTTTTTTTTCTATATAATTTATAATAACTTTGTGCAAGAGGCCCACATGTCTAAGATAACCACTCCTTGACAGTGGGTGGTTGTTTTGGACATGTTGAACTGTACTACTACATATATATTTCAGACCTGCCACTCATCCCGATTTTTTTTCCCAAATCTCAAGCATCCCGATTTCGATCGCCAGTATCCTGATTTTTTGTCGTTGCGTCTGTTGCTTCCGATTCTTAGGAAAAAATATTAAAAGTTCTGCAATCTCTTTTGCTTAGAAGCACTGATTTGACATTTTATCGGCAGGAACTTGGATCACTATTTTCTAAAACATCTATGCCGAATTTAGTAGATGACTCACGCACATTGTTTCAACTAAAATTAAAATCGACGTAGTATCGATTTTGAATTCCGATTCCGATACGCTCAAGATCTACTTTCGCTTTTATAACCCAGAATTCTCCGATGGTGTCCTGATTACTGTAACAATTATGGCATAGACCTAAGAATAATCTATTCTTTGTTCTGTCGTTTCTGTAAAAACAAGCTTCGTCTGAGTTCTGGTTAGTCAGGCTCATCATCAAGGCCTGTCAGTGGAACTTTCAAACGCTCATTCGCTTCACGTGACATGACCTCGTACGTGTGAGTAGCGCGTGTGTCAGGGACTGTCGGCTGTCGGGGTCAACAAAGTTCATTCTCACCGGTCACATTGGTGGAGGTGTTTTTCGGGACTTTACCAGTGTGGGACGACCGAGGGAGGGGGTGGGGGTATTGTTTTGACACTTGGGCTTAAAGTGCGTGCTGTGATACAGGTACTAATTGAGGGGAAAGGAATAAGAGAAAAAAAAAAAAA